CGACCCCTCCCCCCCCCCCTGCCCCCTGACAGCCCCCCCCAGAACTCCCAACCCATCTAAACCCCTCTGCTCCCTGTCCCTCTCGCGGCTCCGATCCCTCTCCCCACTCCTGCCCCCTGACAGCCCCCCCCAGAACTCCCAACCCATCTAAACCCCTCTGCTCCCTGTCCCCTGACTGCTCCGATCCCTCTCCCCACTCCTGCCCCCTGACAGCCCCCCCCAGAACTCCCAACCCATCTAAACCCCTCTGCTCCCTGTCCCCTGACTGCTCCGATCCCTCTCCCCACTTCTGCCCCCTGACAGCCCCCACCCCCCTGCTCCTTGTCCCCTGACTGCCCCCTCCTGGGGCCCCTGCTCCTAACTGCTCCCCAGGACCCTACCCCCTACCTGTACCCTGACTGCCCAAAACTTTCTCCACTCCCCCCCCAAAAGCCCCCCCCTGAACTCCCGACCCCCCTGTTTCTTGACTGCCCCCTCCAGAACCTCCCTGCCCCTTCTCCTGTCCCCTGGCCCCTTACCCTGCTGCTCAGAACAGGGTGTTGGGCTCTGTGCGAGCCGGACACGTGGCTGCACTCCCCAGCGCAACACAAAACCCGGTCCCTGGCCCTGCACAGTGCTGCCGGACCGGGACACTGGGCTGCAGGAGGAGCAGCTGCCGGCTCAGAATGCAGGGAGGAGCTCCTCTACAGCTGCTCCGAAGTCCAGCCCGGGACTTTCCTGCAGCCCTCCCAGCCGCTCGCTCTGCTCTGCCGGGGAGGGGGGAAATCCCGGACATTTTGAGTTATTTACAAATTCCCCCCGGACGCTATTTTTAGCACAAAAAGGAGGACATGTCCGGGTAAATCCGGACGAATGGTAACCCTAGGTGAAGGGCGGCACCCGCCCGCTCCCTCCGCCCGTGGACAGCCAGGCGCTGCAGCCTGCTCGCAGCCGGGCGAGAGGGACTCCCCCCTCCGGCCTTGGGGTGGCTCTCCCGGACGGGCAGGCAGAGCCCCCGGGAGCTGCAGGAGGTGCTGGTTCAGCCACTCCTTTAAAGGCGGCTCGGCCGGCCTCAAAGCGGCGCAGGAGGCGGAGGCCGGTGCAGGTGGCAGGGAGTGGTGTGTCCTGGGGAGCACGGTGAGCGTCGGGGATTGCTAGTTCCTGCCCCCCCCCCCCAGGCCAGGGTCTGTGCCCCTGCAAGGCCCCAAGATTGGCCGAAATGCCGCCCCTTACAATGTGCCACCCCAGGCACATGCTTTCTCGTCTGGTGCCTGGAGCCGGCCCTGGAGAAGGGAGAGGAGGGTTCTGGGAACAGTGGCTGGGGCTGTCCATTGAACACCTTTATTTAGGGCCTGATCCTGTGAGGCACTGAGATCTCTGACCTCCTACTGAAGTAATGATTTTAATGACAAGCACTGCATTTGCTGGGAGTTGATGATGCTCAGTAACTCACTAAATCAGGCCCTTAACGCACATTATGCAAAGACAGTTCTGAAAAAGTATAATCTGCACTCTTCTCTCTAGACTGATGGTTACAGTTAGAAATAGACATGAACCAAAAGCCCAGATTTGAGCATATCATACTCTGGGTGAGTCTGGATCAAGATCTTAACTTGGTGGCTGGTCTTTCTCCCTATAATGGGCCCAAACAAAACCCTGCCCATGGACATCCTGATTTTTTTTAAGTTCAGTTCCACACTTTGCATCTCAGGTCCATCTCTGTTTCAAGGCTTTAGTTGCCTCGTTCCTTCTTAGCTTTCCTGCTCTTCCCTCCTCTTTTCTACATGCCATGCTAGCTGTCAAGCAGTTGCAAGGTGAAATATATTGGGAGCAGAGGGAAATCTCCCTTAGGATTTTTTTAGCTGAAGATTCCCACCTCCAGTGTTTTGAAGCTAAAATACTTGACAGGTGGGAGAGGAATATTTTGCTATATAGAGACTGCATTCAGAAAGCACAAAGCCAGTCTTAGCCCTGAACAAAGGGTCTCTAGCTCATACTTGTTTTATCTGAGTAAGGCTGCAGGATTTCTCCCTTTATTTGGGATTCCCCTCAATGTCCCTACCAAAGGCAAGTATGTAGCTGGGGCATCCATCCAAATCCTTTCACTGTCACTGCACAAAGGACAGAAAACTGCAGTGTGGAGACAATATTAAGGTGTGCTCGGAGTGTGACCTGCTTGATGCTGGAAGTGTTGATGGTGGCTTTGCATTGCCATGACTCCCCTTCCCTGAAGGCATTTAAACATACTCGTAGACAATTATTACCTCATCCATGGAAGAAGTATTAAAAGCCTAGTTAATCTATAAAATACAATACAGCTTTAAGGCCCAGTCCCGTAAGCCATAACTGACTAGTCCTTACTCATGTGAGTAGTCTTAATGAAGTCATTCCTCATGAAAGTCAGAGCTATAAGCAAGGGCTCTCAGAACTGGGCCCATATTTAATGCAAACCCCCCTGTAACTAGGAACTCTCCTTTCACTGAGAGAGGTGCTAATTTTGTATCTTTCAGGGCACAGAGGGCAAACCTGATCTATCTGCATAGCATATGTCACCTGTAGCTATGCTCAGCCTGCTGCAGGTAAATGGATCTTCAGCCTGATTTCCACCTTTTCCTGTCTTGCCTGACACTCCTCTAGATTTTATTTTGTGGAGGGAAATTAAATCTTTGGGTCAAGCCCACTTTTGCTTTCTCTTGGATTCTATTCTCCATACAGAATCCACTCAACCACTTCCCTCTTGGGTATCTGGCAGTGGTGCCTGGCACAGCACTGTTGTATGACACTTTGTACTGTGACTTATTTGTTCTCTTCTAATCACTTCTGAGCATAATTTCATCCAATATCCTTTGTTAGGTACATTTCGGTTAAATTCAAGGCTTTGCTGTGTAGGTCACGTGTCTTGTCTAGGCTGGTCATTGAAAGCTTGGGTGATGAGAAAAATAGGTAAAGCAAAAATAGGTAAGGGAACATTGTAGAAATCAGCAGGCCTGGATCTAATCTATTTTCAGGTTCTAAGAGAATATGTTTACTGGACCACCAACACTTTTTTTTTTTTAAAGGAGGGAGCGTTGATTAGTTTTTAAAGCACTTCTAGTTTCTTTTCCCAACTCCAGCATTGGGTCATATGTGATTTTGGGCAAGTTATTTAGGCTCAAATTTTCACTGGGTAGAGGTCTACTTGAGTGTAATTGCATGTCTACATTTGTGGGGACAATTGCACACAAAAAATGAGTGATAGAAGAGCCGACTTCCCTTTGCATGTACATTTGCAGTAATTGTG